ATGTGGGGGCGTGTTAGAACGAGGCGTTTTAGGAGGGCGTGGACAAGTCTTAACTTTTATAAAGAATATCTCTTTGGATTTCAGACTTTAGTCTTTGCAACTTTACAGATCTTCTTTATGCACCAAGAGCTTGTAACACTCCAAAGAGAAAGGAAAAATTTAAATCGCATCATATGATCCCTTTAAATATGTTACATAGTTTAGAGCCTTCATGCTACACTATCATTTTCTCTTATAGAGATTATTTTTGTCTTATCTCCCAGGTGTCTGTGGTTAACCAACTGGACATGCAGGTGGTCGTATCCAACGTGTCGCCCACTGTAGTTGAACAGAACAAGGATCAGCTGATTGGGTAACGTGTTCTATACAAACACACTCTTAACCCTTACATACTCCCCAACATAACGTTCCTGGCAGCCGCAGAGTGCTTGAAGTTGTAATGTATGCATGAGTACTTGACTCCTGCGGGTGCAGATGTTTATGTTGGGGATAAATCAGTGGGCTGCTTGATTCTGTCAACCCCTCTTAGATAGAAGCAGGACCCACACTGTGTAACATCTGTGGCAAGAGCAGAATAACCAGAAACTCCACCTTCCTCTTGTCAGCCATGGATAGCACTTATCGCTTGCCTTTCTCTCAAATAAAATGTTTAAATAAATAGTTTACCAAAAATATGTCATAATTTACTCACTTCATATTGTTACCTAAATTACGTTGTTGTTGTTTTTTTTATTGAACATAAAATGTTTTTCAGAATTTTGACACTTTGAAACTCTATAAAGACCTTTATATATATATATATATATATATATAGTAGTACACAGCATAAATTAGTATACTCCCTTTTAAACCTATATATTTAGGGTTCAAAAATGATACAATGTTGTAATAAACAGCAATATATTATTTATCTAAATATACGCCATAAAAGGCTTACATGGCTTACGCCATGTTACAAAAATGAGTTCATTGTTTGTGGTATAATATTTGCAAACATCCCACCTATTATGTAATTGCCACAAACCAGTGTCAGTGTTATTTACTGAAAATCATAGCTGCAGTGCTCATATTTTGTTTGTGTACCAAATCAAATGTGCAATGTCTATGATGCCGAACATGGCTAAATTATCGTGTCAAAACTCGTCTATTGAATTTGTGCTAGTGCAAATGAGATTAGAGATATTTTTTGGTGAACAAAATACAGTCGCACTTTAGTTTGGGGACCAATTCTCACTATTAACTAACTATTAACTATGACTCTTGCCTCAAACTCCTAATATACTGCGTATTAATAGTTACAGTAGTAAGGTCGTTTTTAAGTTTAGGTATGGGGCAGGATTAAGAGATCTGAATAATGGTTATGCAGAATAAGGCATTAATATGTGCTTCATATGTAATAATATACAGACAAATGCTACTAACATGCATGGCCGTAACGATATGTATGGACCAACTATATATATACCTGTATGTATGTGTATATATATATATATATATATATGTATGCATGTATGTATGTATGTATGTATGTATGTATGTATGTATGTATATATAATGCAGGTGTGCGTTAAAAGCTGCGCACACACAGATAACTTCCTGTCAGTGCTGCCTCGCGACTTTTATTAATAAATTAGCTTCCATACTGAATTGCTACATTATATTTTTCAGTAGGTAAAAACGTTGTTTTTGAAGTAACTAATCTCACAGCTTTATTGTTTTTAGAGAGAGACGCACAGACGCAGGTAATTCACACACACACAACTTTCACCCCTCTCTATCTCTCTCTCTCTCTCTCTCTCTCAAAATGGCCATATTTGAGGAAAAAAGTCAAGCAGTTTGCATGACTGGATACAGCTGTCGGTCATTTAACATTTCTATCATAAAACAGTTGACTAATATTAAATGATTTGCAACTTTGCAACTTATGTATGTATAATGCAGGTGTGCGTTAAAAGCTGCGCACACACAGATAACTTCCTGTCAGTGCTGCCTCGCGACTTTTATTAATAAATTAGCTTCCATACTGAATTGCTACATTATATTTTTCAGTAGGTAAAAACGTTGTTTTTGAAGTAACTAATCTCACAGCTTTATTGTTTTTAGAGAGAGACGCACAGACGCAGGTAATTCACACACACACAACTTTCACCCCTCTCTATCTCTCTCTCTCTCTCTCAAAATGGCCATATTTGAGGAAAAAAGTCAAGCAGTTTGCATGACTGGATACAGCTGTCGGTCATTTAACATTTCTATCATAAAACAGTTTACTAATATTAAATGATTTGCAACTTTGCAACTTGGGACTGTATTGCACTGGTTTAGGGTAGCTGTGTTCGCACTGGTGTGTCCTCCTCAATGTCTATGGTGGTTACGGCCCTGGTTCATAGTGAGAATTGGTCCCTGAACTAAAGTGTTACCATAAAAATGTCGCACAAGTCATATGGTCACTTTCATTATAACTTTAGGATGTTTTTATGATATTTTTGGTGCTCAGCATTACCCCTCTTCATTTATTTCCATCGTATGGAAAAGAGCAGCATGAACATTTTTCTGAATTTCTCCTTCTGTGTTCCATAGAAGAAATAAATAAATTTGATTTTGGAACGACGCATGTAAATGATGACAAAATATTATTTTTCACTTAGACATCCCTGTTGAGATAGTACAGTGCAAATATGAAGACATAAACACATTTAAATTCCTAGTATATACACAGACAGGAACACACTTGCATAACAGAACTCACAGCCCGAGTTTTCCCAAACCATCTTATTCTCTCTTGTCGGGCTATTTCCCCAGCAAACCTGCTCCTTGTTCCTTTCCTCCAAGTAGAGTCATCATTCCAGCTTCTGTTCTTTTTTGTCCCATGTTCTTATTTCATCTCAGCAGCTGTGAAGTGGGGATATCTGAGGCACTGCAGGTAATAGGCTGTGGAGGGCTGGCTGCTCTGAGATGTGAGCTGAGGGGTAAAAAAGACACCTACCAGGAGAAAAATTCTGAGGAATAAAAGACTGACTTTTTTTCTTAGAATTGCAAGTATATATCTCACAATTCTGACTTTGTAACTTGCAATTGCTTGTTATAAAGTCAGAATTGCGACTATAAACTGAGATTGCATATATAAACTCGCAATTGAGAAAAAAGTCAGAATTGCGAGAAAAAGTTTTTGTTTTTTTTTGGTGGTGGAAACATGCTTTCATAGTTTTGAGAATGTTCTCTGTGTGAAAATAACATTCATTAGTTGTTTCAGCATTCCTTTTAGAAATTAAAAAAAGGTGAAAAATGGTGAATAGAACGTCTTCAGTATGTCAGAAAGTTCTGTTGCCGATCACTCATTTTCTGTCTCTTAATGCAGGATTTTAGAGCGCTATGTCCAGGACCAGATTCCAGGAGCTAAAGTTGTTGTGGAGTCGATCGGGCCGCGTCGTTTTGGCGAGGGTTATGAACAGGAGGACTACTCAAAATCTGACCTGATGGTTTATGCAATCGACCCTCTGACCAACAGAGCTCTCTCAAGACAGGAGCTCTTCAAGTGAGTGCTTTCTCTCATCCAACTTACCCTCACAAACTCCATTTCTGTAGTGCTCTTCTTTCTCTTAACCTCCTGACCTTTCCCTCAAACCTAAGCAACTAACCGCTAGAGATCTATCTACCATTCACGCTGGGATATAGATGTCTTTTTCAGCCATACAGTGAATGGAAAGAACTGCTTTATATTATTTATACGAGCAATGCAAAAATGCAGAGGATGTTGTTGGTGCTGTCACGTCACACTGTTGAGGAAGCACAGGAGGCACGAGTAAACGAGAACTGTCTTTAATAAAGGAAACTCAGGAGATAATCCACAGTAGGAGCTTGAGCCAACACACGTAGAGAACGAGTAGACCTGACAAACACAAACTGAACAGACTAGGACTTTTATTGAGGGGATGATTGGGGAACACAGGTGACATCAATGGAACGTAATCAAACTAAACGAGGACAGGAACATGACCAAATAAGGCAAATCAGGAACTGAAACACATGACAAAACAGGTCCAATCCTGACATTTCGCCCCCTCCCGGAAGGTGCGTCCTCACACCGTAGGCAACAACAGAGGGAGGGGGATGGGTGGGAACTAAGGAGGAGGCTCAGGAGGAGGACGGACACCCGGGAGGGGGCCGGCAGACGGAGACCAGGGAGACGACGAAGGAGGGAGGAGCCAGGGAGGAGACAGGAGGAGTCCAGCTGGACCCAGGCCACAGCCATAATGATGGCCCACGGTGGAGCCGACAGAGTGGAGGAGCCATGGAGGAGGAATGGCCGCCGACTCCAGGGGGCCGACCAACGGCGGCGGAGCAGGTGGTGGAGGAGCCCGAGGCGGAGACGGAGAGCCAACGAGCCAGGGGGATGCCGAGGATCCGGGGGGCCAGGGTGGAGCCGAGGGCTCTGGCGACCAAGG